CTTCTTGCCTTATCGTTCCGCAGACATTTTCCTCTTTTGTTTTTTATCCTCTATCTTTCTGTCGCTCGGCTCGGACTGAACGCTCTCTCCTCCACGTCATGAGTAGACACGCCCCTTACTGCTGATTGGCTACAAGTATGTTTTGCTACTCGGCCCGAATCAGTTTTCTAAAGCGTTTTTGAAAAACCGCTTACCCCACCTTTAACTACAACCATGATTTTTTTTGTAGTAAAACCATGCTCTTGCTATCTGAATTAGTGATTGAGACAATAAAAACAACTAATATGAATATAAATATGAACCACAACGTTTTTTTTTTAAATAACGATAAATTTAATTTAGATTTAATCCCAACATATTTTGATATAGGGCAGACTTAAAAAAAAAAAAAAAAGATCGGATTACATTTTAACAAGGAAATACTATTTCAGTCTTTCTACTTCAAAATTTCACACAATTCAATGTGTTGTAATTATTTGTGAAATTTACTAGCAGTTTCTGAGTGAAAATGAAAAAGTATACCAATAAACAAAAAATGCCTTTTTCAGCCCCATCAGTCACTTGCATTATTTTTTTAGCATAAACAGATTTTATCTGTTTGAAACACAATACTGTCTTAAAATGCTATTGTTTGTGAATACAAATGTTTTTATGGCTTATTCTTTAACTCTTTAAATATTACTGAAGCGCGTTTAAATAGATTGTTTTAAATTACATACACAAACACACATATATATATATATATATTATGGGCGACATAAATCAGGTGACGCTTCAGGTGTGCGCGGTCAGTTTAGTCTCTGAGGCACCTGCAGCCCTTGGGACTGTTGTCATGGTAACGCAGGTACGCGGCGGGCTCTATAGCGCCCTACGGTGCGCGCTAAAACACCCGGGAAAGACCCCGTTTACAAGCACCGTTTCTCCTGCCAACACCGCATTCGACTGAAACACTGCACGTACAGCAGGATGATGAGGACGTGCGGAAATCCGTCCCGGCGGTAGAGCCTCTCCTGTGGACGCGATGAGCGCATTAAGTGACTCGGGCTTCGAGGAGGATCTTCACGCTTCGGGCTCTGAGCTGCAGGAGTGTGATGATGAGGAGGAGAGCTGCTTCATCATCCAGAGACACAACGAGCTGCAGTTCCTGGCGCACAACTGCCTCGCGCGACAGCCGCAGGTAAACGCCTGTTTGTATTAGTATTATCATTATTATTATTGCAAGAAATTAATACTTTTATTTAGCAAGGACGCATTAAATTAATCAAAGTGATGTATTTCCACAAAAATACTGGGCAGCACAACTGTTTTCAATGTTGATAATAATCAGAAATGTTTCTTGAGCAGCAAAGCAAAGCATGATATGACCCCTTTAAGTATGTACTTAAGTCCTACTTAATTGGGCCAAAAAGCACTCTAAAATTCAGCTAATTGCATTTAATATGAACTTAAACTGTAATACATTTTAATTTAATTGTAACTATGTAATTAAGTGTCTGAAAACATTACACTCAAGTATATTCTTTTAAAGTATAGGTTAATATGCTAAAGTGTACTTCTTTTTCACTAGGGTTAGTACACACTTTTCAGGGACTATTGATTACAAAAATAGACCAAGATGTAAATCTGAGTGAGTTGTGATTTTTGTGTTTTCCAGGTTGAAGTGTATTCACCTCGCATCACACAACTTCTGTCGCTTTGCTGCAATTCTTTTTCCAGAGAGCAGCTGTGCAATCTCGAATGCCTGATCCTTCTCAGACTCAACTTCAGACTGGCTGCACCTACCCATGCTTTCTTTCTGGACTACTTCACCAGTCGCACTACTGGATATCAGACTGATGGAGCCATGGATAAGATGGTCACTACACAGGACAGAAATGCATGGAAGGAGCCCCAGAAGAAGTGGAAATGGTTGGCTTGCAAAGTCTGTGAACTGAGTTTGGCTGACTACACGTTTAACAAGTATATGCCGTCTGTGATTGTGCTGTGTGCTGTGAAACTGGCAAAAGATCTGCTGAAGACGCATTCAGCGCAGCCCACAGACAACAAGGCTGGCTCGTCAAAGACATTGGAGTCGTTCGGTTTTCAAGAGTATCCAACATTTGAAGCTCAGGTTTTGGTTCAGCAATGCACAGAAGATCTGAAATTGTTGGTTTCTCTTAATCAAGATGCAGTCCAGGACTTCATATCACCATTATATTAGTTCATTCCACAAAATGAGCACATTGAAAATGTGCTAAAACATACTTAAGTAATTCACTTGCTGATGAAAAAAAAAAAATGCAAAGATACTGAAGTAACTGAATGTTTACCGAATTTCTCTTACATTTTTCTGATGTTCTTTAATACTCCATACGACTCAGAATGCTGAATTAAAGGCTGGATTTATAATCTTTTAATGCAGTCAAACGGTATTTATCCCCCAAAAAATATTTATGCAAAAGTAAGGTTTTATTTTAAATGTATGTTTATGTAGAATCATCTTTTTGTATTTGTGTGATTATGGGATTGACGGATCACCTGTGGGAATTAAAAAAGTTTAAAAAAAGAGAAGTTGAATGTTTAATGAAATCTCACAGGTTTCTTAAATTAAAAGGATAATATATATATTTTTATATGAAAAAAAAAAGTTTGTTTCTTCATAGAAACAGATTTTAGAGAAATTCCGATGGATGCTCTGCAGTGAATGGGTGCCGTCAGAATGAGAGGCCAAACAGCTGATAAAAACATCACAATAATCCACAAGTAACCCACACCACTCCAGTCCATCAGTTAACAACTTTTGAAGTGAAAATCTGCATGTTTGTAAGTAATACATCCATCAAGACGTTTTAAACTTCAAACCATTGCTTATAGCTAAAATACGAGTCCACTATCCATAATATTGCTTTCTCCAGCCTTTGGACTCTCATTCTGACGGCACCCATTCACTCCATTGGTGAGCAAGTGATGTAATGCTAAATTTCTCCAGATCTGTTCTGATGAAGGAACAAGCTCATCTGCATCTTGGATGACCTGAGGGTAAATTTTCAGCAAATTTTTGGGTATTATTTTTGTTCACTCCAAAATATTTCCGCCATTTTAGAGAGTATCATCACAACGCATACGCACGCTTTCCGCTAAGCGTAAACAACGCTGATTACGCAGATTACGCTCTTGGGTACTCTCTAAAATGGCGGAAGACGTAACTCGGGGGAGAAGAATTGTTAAATAAATTATGTTATTTTTGTTTTCTTTGCTCTCAAAAAGAAAATATCTTAATTTGTGTTCTGAAGATGAACGGAGGTCTTACGGGTTTGGAACGACATGAGGGTGAGTAATTAATGACAGAATTTTCATTTTGGGGTGAACTAACCCTTTAAATGCCATAATACTGGATGATATACACATATTTTGACAAAAAAGGTGCAAGAAAAGTAAACTAATGTTATGATGATATTGCCAATCATGCATTTCTCTCGAGTGCCAAACTCCCAATAACAATTTGAACAACCTGTACTTAAAGGGGTCATATGATGTTGCTAAAAAGAACATTATTTTGTGTATTTGGTGTAATGAAATGTGTTTATGCTGGTTAAGGTTAAAAAAACATTATTTTCCACTCTTAACTTTTATAAAGAATATCTCTTTGGATTTGAGACTTAAGTCTTTGCAACTGTACAGGTCTTCTTTATGCACCAAGAGCTTGTAACACTCCAAAGAGAAAGGAAAAATTGAAATCGCATCATGATATGTTTACCTGTATTTTACTTAATATTATTTTGATGAAGTTTCTTACTGTTTGGTTGCTTTAAAATATAGTTACCTATCTCTATGCTGCAGGCCATGTACACCGTAGAGTGGCTTCACCTTAGGTCTTGCACAAGTCGGTTAGTCAGCAGACAGGGCGTGGAGGAAATTAAATGAAATGAGAAAGTAAATGTGACAGACTTCATTGATAGCAGGTCGCAGAGCCACTGTAAAGAAAATAAAAAACAATGTGCTAGTCTGTTACACCAATCAGACGTTAACGTTCTAACTCGAGCGTGTGAGGTTTTGAATTTACCGGCCTCTTATTGGCTGGCGGTGAGTAAGGGGCGGGGCTTCCACTCAAATCACTCACCGCTCGTGACTCCCGAGGCATGCAGTCTGCTGTGAAGCGAGAAACGGTTGGAGTGTGTGTGAAAACAAACGGCTGCCGGTCATTAACAAGGACAGCTTTTAATTTTGAGGATTTATATTTGTTATTAGGCTGTACCACAGACGGGCTTGTCGTTTCTTTATTAGAGAGCATCTTCCCCGAGTTAACCGGACCGGGACCTAACGTACTCTTGAATGTATCTGACGTGAGCCTTTCTATTATGTGTATGTGACGGTTTGTTTAACAGTACTTTACACTCGTTCGCCATTCAAACCGGTAATAAAGTGTCTGAGAAGATGTCAGAGAAGCGATACTCCAGCATGGACGAGTCCTCGCTCCGCAGTCTGGTGAGTTCAGCTCTCAGCTATGCCACTTTTTAGTTTTAAGTTTAACAGACATTGATTTTAGCTTTAGCATCACTTTAGTTTCTGTCAGGAAGGTACGTGCTTTATCTAGCTTAGTGCTGTTCACATCTTTATGATAAAACCGTCCGTGTAAACATAATATACGCGCTCAGGCGCACGTGTCATGCTGTAAAAAGGTTAAAAATTAACAATGTCTGCTCATTATAGTTCAACCTTCACACTAAAAACGAGTATGTTGTATTTTGTACATGATTGTGACACCTGAGTTTACATGTACAATTATAAAGCGGAGGTTTAAAGTGGAAAAACAACAAAAAAGCTGATTTATAATATGTGCAATAGTATTAAAAATGCTATTTGTTTTTATCAGTGCATTTCTTTAGCAGACATGATTCTGACATAAATGAATAAAATTGAACATTAAGTGATTTTCTTTTTAATAAACGTGTGAACATTACATTTGAGAAATATGATTAAAATGATGTTCACTTGCATGAGATGAAGACTCTAGACATATCAGTCTTGACATTAAATGACCATTCATTTCTTGTAGTTAATAGTAGTACTACGTTTACTTTATGTAGCCTAGTTCTCAAGGCATTTTACAAACCAAACAATATAACAGACACAATATACATACATAGGCTACTACAGACAGACAGAGCATGAGTCAGCAGCGCAGTCCAGAGTGATAGATGCACCTGACAATCCAAACACAGGGAGTATGAGTGGAAAAATGAAATGTCCAAACAAGCAGCCACACATTACAGAGCCAGAGGCAATGAGAAAAACAGTAGAAAAGGAACCAAATAAACAGATTAGATGTGAAGCAGCAGGAGTTTTAAATAAACTTAGTGCATCCAGGCTGATAGATCATCCCAAATCACTGGGACAAATAAGAGTCACAAAAAGCGCCCCAGCCAGAAACCAGATGCCATTTTTTTTCCCAAGACTCGTGTACAGCTGTGGTGCTTGTTCATGACGATTGGAACATTAAAAGTTAAAGTGTCATGAACAAGCACAACAGCTGTACACGAGTCTTGGAAAAAAAAAAGCCATCTGGTTTCTGTTGAGTCAGTGGCGGTCCTGACTGTCATGCTGCCCTAGGCGAGATATGAGGTGCTCGGAAAGGAACAAATCATTTTCAGTGAGTTGTGGATGAAATGGCAGAGCAATTGTGTGTAACGGCCGGGAGTGAGCATGAAGTGGGCGTCTGAGAGCCTGTGTGAATTCATCAATGCCACCCTGAACAGCTGCAAGCGTCGTCTATGCCAGGATTCATGGAGTGACAGCATTACAAAGTGCTACATTGGTTAAAACCACTGCATTCTTGTATATTAGGAATGCACAAAAAGATTTACTGTGTGTTTCTTGAATTGATCAAGAGTTTGTGTGTCGTATAAGCTTTTAAAGGCAGAGTAAGTGATTTTTCAAAAACACTTTAGAAAACTGATTCGGGCCGAATCGCAAAACAAACTTGTAGCCAATCAGCAATAAGGGGCGTGTCTACTCGTGATGTGGAGGAGAGCGCGTTCAGTGCATGGGACGGACATTAGCCGAGCCGAGCGACAGAAAGATAGAGATGGCGGATAAAAAACAAAAGAGGAAAACGTCTGCAGAACGATAAGGCAAGAAGTAGGACCCGTGTAAATATCGGATCAGCTTTCCAGCGCTGGAGAGAACTCAAGGAGCGGAGGCCTGCGATCGGACGCCGAGGTTGCTTTGTTTCTTCTCAATAGGTGAGTAACACCGTGTCTACAACAGCTAAAGTCTGCCTACACTGGACGCGATCAAACGACCGTTGAAAACCATTTGAAATGTGTGTCAGCACGTCATGAATAGAACCCGGCAGCAGTTTTCTGTCGGGGATTTGTTGCGCCGCTCACGTCCGGTGTAGACACGGTGTAACATTGGTTTTGCTTTGTTTCACAGAACTAATCGTTGCCTGGGTTGCGTACGTATATGTGGGGCGGAGCTATCAAAATAGGGGCAAGACCCTTTTGGGGTAGGGGCGTGTTTGTTTTGGTGATTTCAAATATCAACATTGGATACCAGAAATCACTTACTCGGCCTTTAAGTGTGGCAAACATCACTGAGAATAAAAACATTCCACAGTTGAACAAAATGGGATCAGCTTGAAGAGTTGTAGCACAGTCATCAATATACTCTGGCATTCTTCTTTTGCGGGCATAATACTGAAAAAAATTCTGAATTATTACAAAAATAAGACAGATTTATTCAAATACTGCCAGTGGAGTTTCCCACCAATTTGCATTTATGTGATATTAGATAATATCCCAGTAGGAGTACAACATCACAGCATTCAAACACAATAAGAAGTAATTCAGTTTGACGATCCCAATGTCATAATTTTTACACCTAAAGCAGAATTACATGCCACTTATCCAAATTATTATTATTTTTTGCAAAAGTCCTGCAGTATCTGCAAGTTGGTGATATAAGTCAAAAGTGCATTTAAAATATAATAAGGAGCTTCACTTTTAAATAACTACACATGCTGCTGCAAGTACAAGCCATGTTTGATTGACTTGCAAATTAGTAGCTATGTGAGGTTTATTAATTAGCACTTTGATAATTGTGTTCAGGTGTTTCACATTATCTTGGATTGACAGTGTGTTGTTCACAAAACCCCATTTAATTATATACTGTCATGGGGGAATTGTCCCTGAAATAGCTATAGCATATTGCTGGCATGGATAAACAGTTTCTGAAAAGAGTGAATGTTGTGTCAGACTCACAGACACCGTGCCAGCGTTTCAGGATTGTTCCTAATAGAACATTCCCAGTCAAGTACAGTGTCACAAATTCCCACACAATTTAATAATTTCTTCTGTGACTCGAGTCATGAGCTTCATAAAGCTGAATTGGTAAGGCAGGGTTAAACTGTCAGTGTGTAAAGACTCAAAACACAGAGCACAAAACCTGCATTCAGAGCAATAGGGAGAAATAAATATCGCCCGTTTTTTCGCTCTGTATGTAGTTATGTTTACAGAATGACCACCCTATTGAAAAAATCAGGTCATGACGGCTTGAAGTGGTTTGGCTGATTTTTATAATATGGAGCAGTTTGTTGCTGGGTCTCAACCAGCTTAAACATCTAACCTAACCATGTCTACCTGGTTGATCTAGACCCCACCAGAGCATTAGACCAGCTATTGGCTAAAATAACCAGCTTTGACCTGCTTGAAAGTTTGTAAAATAAGAATGTCAAAAAAAAAAAAGAAGACTAGTATCAAGTCAATACTCAAAAAAGAAGAAGTAATTGACTATAATTCAATACCCCAGTGCTGTTTGACTGACACACATCCAGCACTTATGGCACTTATCAGCCAAATGCACTTGGTCAGAATGCCTATTTTATGTAAAATGTAAAAAAAAAACGCATGCTTTTTTTTAAAGCAAGAGTTCGCCCTAAAAAGAAACTTTGCTGATAATTTACTCACCCTCAGGCATAGAAGATTAGCTGAAACCGTGATCCTTGGTGATTCATAAAATGCAAGTCAACAGCTATCGTAACTTTGAGAGTCAAAAAAGCATATCAGAGAACACAAAATTAATACCTGTGACTATATTGAGTTCTTATGAAGCGAAATGATTGAAAAAAAAAATTATATATTGAAACAAACTGTCCAAAAGAACCAGTTCACGGAAAATAATTGGATTTTCCTGTTTGCCTGAGGATTACAGGCAATAATGTTAATTTTCTTGCACAGACTGATCGTTTCTCTTCATAAGAACTCCATATATAGTCAAGTTCCACCAGTATTAATTTTGTTCCTTGATATGCTTTTTTTGATTCTCAAAGTTGGGCAGCTGCTGACTTGCATTTCATGAACCACCAAGTATCACGGTTTCAGCTAAAAATCTTCTTAACTTTTTTTACTCAAAAAAGTCACCTACATCTTAATGGCCTGAGGGTGAGTAAATTAACAGCAAATTTTTGTTTTTGGGTGAACCATTCAGTTCCTCATAATAAACTTCCTAAATACCTCAAATTTAACTGTTATACATATATATTTATTTTACAAATAATTTTTCTGTGTCCTATTGTGCAAAAACTATTCTCTCAAGATGATTCTCTCAAGTTTGGTGTTCTGAAATTATATCAGTCCCGTAAAAACATACTAAACAGACTCAAGATTGATTTTTATTAACATTAGGTTTTCAAATTATTTAATTTCACCAGACACAATTTTAGAGCTGGTAAATCTGCTAAATTGAACCTTCATGTGTGGTTCTGAAGGAAGACAGAATGTAGATTCCCACCTCTTTTGTCCTTCAGATAACTCAACACTTCCCCCAAATCTCCCCCTGCGAATATTTTCCACTCTGCCTTCACAATGTTTGGATGTCTGTGAGACACGATTCCACAGAGGTCAAGAGTGTCACAGTCCCTCATGGGTTGTGGAACATGTGGAGTTTTCTCCAACTTTCCTGTTGACTATAGGGCTTATTTTTAGTTGTCTGTGAATATATATATATTCTTTTATGCTTTTTATGATGCAGCATCTACTCATACCCATGAGGTTGGTGTATGTGTATACATCACACACCTTATACTGTGATTGACACTACAGTGGGTATAGAAAAGAATCACCTCCCATTAAAACAATAATCACATTTTTTTGCTTTGCAGCCTGAAATAAAGACGGACACAGTTTTTGTTTTATCCAGCTGTATTTACTTACAAGATTTAGTAAAATTTAGCTTGAAAAGGTTTTAGAATTTTTATCATATGTTAATTTAAAGAATCTTGTATAATATTATTTGCTGTGTTTGTTTGGTTTTTATTGTATTTATGTGATATTTGCATTTTTGTAATTGAATTTTTGCCATGAAAGTAGCCCCAGATGCTGACGTGGCATTAAATAAAATTATACTACTACTGCTATATACTTAAAAGATATAACACCAACAACAAAAAAATTTAAAAACAGAATCACTTATTTGGAAAATGGATC